CCCAACAGAAATACTCCAGGTGGACAACTTCAGCAATCAGGAGCTCCTCAGTTGCTCAAAGAAAATCCCACCTTGGAGTTTACAAAGACTTATGGGTAGAAAAGCCACACTAAGTAATTTACTACACCACAACCTCTGAGTCAGTGCTGATCAGAAAACAGCAGTGCCTAGCAGATCTGGGGAAGACCAGTACCCAGGAGAAGGAACAGGAAAGAGGAAAGAAACCACAGATACCTATATGTTGTCAACCTGGAGTCCAAGTGAGACTTCTCGTGGGACTCACAGAACTACCTGTGCAGGAGGAGAGCTAGGGCGTAATCAGACCAAACAGTAATGAGTCCCTCATGGTCTGTGTCTCCATTGTGGAGTGAACACTCATTACACTCATCATAGCAAAATCCTACTGGACCTTTCACCACTGAACCAAATAGCTTTGACATGAGCACCCTTTCTACCAGCAATTTTCCTTTCCTCTAACTCTAACTCAGCATTCCACTGTGTCAGCAATTGTACTACTTCTCAAGTCACTCTACCTAGTTTACTTTTCTCCACCTACATACTAAAAGAGGAAAGGGTGGACAGGGGGGCAAAATGAAGACTCAATCTCAGACCTTGCAGTTCCCTCTCTATACTCTGCACTCTGACAACTCATGACTTTATCTTTTTATGCGGTTGAGCCTAAACCTATATCATTCGCCACTTATACATCTCATTCATTTACTCCATCGTCATTACAGAACATCAAAAGATTCACTAATTATCTCTTGCTTGTTGTTGTTAGTTGTCAGATGCCATCAAGTTGGCTCCAACTCATAGCAATGATGTGCAACAGACTGGAACATTGTGTGGTCCTGCACCATGTTCACAATCCTTGCTATGCTTGAGCCCATCATCACAGCCACTGTGTCAATCCATCTCATTAAGGGTCTTCCCCTTTTTCACTGACCCTCTACTTTACCCAGCATAATATCCTTCTCCAAAGACCATCCCTTCTGACAACCTGACCAAAGTACGTGAGGTGAAGTCTGGCCATTCTTACTTCTAAGGAGCATTCTGGCTGTACTTGTTCCAAGAAAGAATTGTTTGCTTTCCTGGCAGTCCACGGTACATACATTCAATACTCTTCACCAACACCACAATTCAAATGTATCAATATGCTTACATATATTCTATTTCCAAATATGTAGGGCTTTTTATGAGTAAATGTGATTATCATTGCATTAAAAATTAGAGAAAAAGATATATTTGCAAACATAACCAATGTTGTTGTTGTTGTTAAGTGCTGTCGAGTCATTTCCGACTCATAGCGACCCCATGCACAGCAGAACGAAACACTGCCCGATCCCGCACCAGCCCCACAATCCCTGTTATACTTGAGCCCATCATTGCAGCCACCGTATCAATCCATCTCCTCTTTCGTC